AAATCCTCACAACTGGACCGATAAGTAATATGTGGTAAATGGAGAAAAAGTTGAAGTTGTCAAATTTCATTTTTTCTTGGATTCACAATCAATACCCATGGAAACAGCAGTCAAGAAATCAAACGATTCATTGGGTGAATCTGCTGTAAAAGACCTCTTCAGAGTGTTAAAGAGCAAAGATGTCACTTTGAGGACTACGGTGCACCTGACCCATGCTATGGTATTTTCAGTTGCCTCATATGCACTGGACAATGAATGAGGAAGACCGAAGAAGAATTGATGCCTTTGAATTATGGTGTTGGCAATGAATATTAAATAGACCATGGACTTCCCGAAGAACTAACATATCCGTCTTGGAAGAAGTACAACCAGAACGTTCCTTAGAAGGGAGAACGCCCAGACTCCGTCTCAGGTACTTTGGACATGCTATTAGGAAGGACCTGTCTGTGCAGGAGAAGGTCATGTGTGGTGAAGTAGAAGGTCATTGGAAAAAGGGGAGACTGTCAATGAGATGGATGGACAGTGGCTTCAACAATGGGCTCTAACGTAGCAATGATTGCAAGCATGGTGCAGAAGGCAGCCTTTCATTCTGTTGTATATGGGGTCTCTGTGAGTTGGAACTGACTCGATAGCACTGAACAATAACAACAACATACTTATTGCAATTTGTCTGCACTGCTGGTGACCATGGAAGGCAGTGGTGTGACCTCCCATCCAACCCTCACTGCCCTTCTCTATCTTGGTGAGCTTTGGAGAAAAGAGGAAGGATGAGGTTTCTCTCCTAGGTCATCAAGGGGAGGCTGGACCTCTGCGGGATGTGAGAATGGATATAGCACCATGCACTTCTCCCAAGTCTGGCCTGGTTCTAAGATCAAAACAGGAAAGCCACAAAGTGACGTGATGCTCAGCCCCCGTGATGTTGAAAAAAGGGGAAGTCCAGCCTGGCCTTAGGGTGTGAGGGTCTGCTCTTCTTGTCAAAGGAAGAGGAGTTCATCAGACTCACAAGGCCAGGCTGTCCCATGTTGAGGGAGCTTCTGTCCTCATGTGAAGATCAACCGCTGCTGGGGGTGTTGGCTGAGACCCTGCCATGATCTCCAGGCTCCTTGTCCTGCTCGTGGTTGGTGAGTGCTGCGGAGGAAATTCACGTGGGGGTGGGAAAGGGAGGCAGTCTGAATAATGTTTGTAAGTGGGGTGTCTCTCCTGGGACCCTTCCTTCCTGTGCTCCTGGAGAGCTCTCATATGGCCCCCTTTCATCCACCTCGTGTCCAACCCAATGACCTCAACATCCTTGGGTCATTGGGGGCCACCTCTTACAGGTCCTTATCATTTTCAGGACTTTGTATGGACCCAAAGATTTGTGCTCCAAATGGTGAGTCTTTCGTTCATACTTATCCCGGGCAGCTCTGAGTCGGATTGAAGGACTGTGGGAGGAAATTGAGGGTCATTGGATGAGTTCCAATCACCACCTTGCAATCCCTTGCTCTTGTGGAACTCTTCATTTTACTTTTTATCCTTCACCACTGTGCCAATTCTTTTAGGGTGCGGGAACATCTTCCCCGCCCTGGGCAGAATCTAGGTTTCCAGCTTCCTCCTATAACAAATCTGAGTCAAGTAAGGATCTGCAGCTTTTATGATGCTGACGGTAAATACAGGCGTGATCAACCCTGCAAACGTAAGCACAGAGAATCGGAGAAATTGACAGAAATTTTATGTCTCACCTGTGGGTATGGAGCCGACAACCTTGTTTGCCCTTTGAGCACTCTTCCATTTGCTTCAAGGTTCCTCTGCTCTGGTGAGGTCTGCCACAGGGGACAGACCTGCTCAGAAGGTCAGACGTGGGGTAAACACTCAAAAACAAAAACCCAAACTCACTGCCATTGAGTCAATTCCAACTCATAGTGACCCCCATTGGGTTTCCGAGGTGGTAAATCTTTATGGAAGTAGCTTACCCAGTCTGCTGTCTGCAGAGTGGCTGGTGGGTTTGAACTGCCAACCTTCTGGTTAGCAGTCAAATGTCTTATGCACCACACCACCAGAGCTCCTTAGTAGACACTAGACCTCAACATTTGCTACTTCTGTGACTGTGTGTAAGCTAATTTTTGCAAGTTCTTCCATTCTAAAATGAAGACTGGTAACAGGGTGTTGCACCCTTTAAGGTATAACTCACATAAAGCTCAGAGAACAGTGTTGGGTTCAGAGTCTGTTGAAAAATAACGATCGTTAGATAGAATTGATGGAGGTTTCTCCACGAGCCAGGACGTCATCTCTGAATATTGCGTAGACTGCCTCATTTTCTGGCCACAGCTCCTCTCTGAGGTGCATTATTCCCTCATATCCCACATTGAATGAACACTCTTGTGTCTTTGTTGTCCCAAGTGGTGGGGCTCTGGCTTTGAATAACCAGAAAAGTCGCTGCCGTGTGTTAGAAGGACAAGAGAATTGGACAAAACGGATAACTGAAATACATAATAGATCTGAAGATGGCTAGTCCTCAACAAAACTAAACTAAACCAAACCCACTGCCGTTGAATTGATTGTGATCAGTGGCAACCCCACGTGTTACAGATGAGAACTGCTCCGTAGGGTTTTCATAAGGAGTTCTGGTGATGCTATGCCTGTCGTTGTTGTTGTGTGCCATCAAGTCGGACCTGACTCATAGCGACCCCTCCTTGGGTTTCCGAGGCAGTATCGCTATGGAAGTAGATTGCCCAGCCTTCCTTCTGAGGAGTGATTGATGAGTTTGAACCGCCAGCTTTCTGGTTAGCAGTCAAGTGCCTTAGGCACTACACTACCAACATGTTATATATTAAAGGTGAGATGGTCTACACGGAGTCACCAAGCACTCTGAGACCTAATCAAGCTTTAAGTCCTTTATTTCCGGGGTCGAGAGGGGGCTCATGCCAGAAGGGAGTCTCGACCCAGAAGAGCAGCTTCACAGGGTTTATAAAGACAAAACCCACGAGCAGGTGGCGTGTAATATTGAGTGTCTCTTTTCTATCATTTGCAAGCAATCTTTTACAGAAGCAGAAAGCAATGTTGAACTTAATTTAGCAAATAACACCTGCAGAGAAACTCCTTGGCATTGTGGTGAGGCCTCCTCCGCTCTGGGAGCTTCATTGAGGACTCAGCCTTTGCAAGCAGACTTTTACAGAAGCTCAGACGGCATTACACTGGCTCTAGCAAGTCACACCTATAGGCAACACTTAGCGTCGTGGTCTGTCTCTGTGGTTGGCATAGGTGCTCAACTAGGTCTTCATGTTCTGCCAGGACGGATGGGGTGGTCTAGGCCTGCAGCCTTTCAGTGGAAACAGGATGCGGTGGTCTAGACCTGCAGCTTAAGGAAAAGAAACTTTGTGGGGGTGTCTGCGTGTCAAGATGGAGTCAGTTAGCTATCTGGCCCATCACAGGCATAGACTGCCAACCAGAAGGTAGGGGTTCAAATTCACCATCTGCTCTGTGGAAGGAAGACGGGGCAATCTACTTCTGTAAAGATTTACTGCCTTGGAAACCCGATGGGTCACCATGAGTTGGAATCAACTCCATGGCAGTGGGTTTGGATTTCCTTTTATATATAGGATTTTCATGGCTGTAATTTTTGTAGGGGTCCCTAGGTGGTGCAAATGTCTAAGCTCTTGACCACTAGCTGAAACATTAGTGGTTTGAACCCACCAGAAGAACCACAGAAGACAAACATGGCGATCTGCTTCAAAAAGTCACAGCCTTGAAAACACTGTGGAGCAATTCTCCTCCACCCATGAGGTCACCATGAGTCAGAATCAACTCAACAGTGGCTGACAACAACAGCCATGTTTACAGCAAAAGATCACCAGGCCTTTCTGCAGTCCTGCCCCAAACAAACAACCAAACCCTTTGCCATCAAGTGGATTCTGACTCATAGTGACCCTGACAGGGTTTCCAAGGCTATACATCTTTAGAGAAGCAGACCACCTTGTCTTTCTCCCATAGAGCAGCCAGTGGGTTCAAACCACTGACCTTTTGGTGAGCAGCCCATTGCCTTAACCACAGCACCATCAGAGCTCCAGGTGGGCTCAGACTTGGAATCTTTTATTTAGTAGCTAAGCTCATACCCTGTGTAACACCCAGGGAGGTTAATGCTAAAGAGAATATAAATCATGGATGTGTCATGCGTTTGCATGCTTGGGGTAGTGGGTTGTTCTTTTAGCAATTGTAGCTGAGGACAATGTCAGGTTGGCACTAGAGAAAGTCCTGAAGGGTGGAGGAAGGGGCAGACCCTCGGAGTGAACAGTATTTGACCTTGAGAAACCAATGCAATCTGTGCTGGTGTGGAAGTGGGTCTCATCGTCTTGCCAGAGCGTTCTGTGTCAAGAGTAGTGGTAATGAATGAGAGAAGAGCGCGGGAGGAAGTCAGAGAGGCAACGGGTCAGGTTGTAGAGCAGATAACTGGTTAAGATTTTACCTTGAATGAGATGAGAGCCATTGGAGGGCTGTGAGCAGGGGACCAATGTGATCTGACATATGAACAGGCTCTCTAGCTCCAGTGTAGAGAAAGGGGGCAAGGAGACTAGTTGTGGGCACGTGTGGAAGAAAGAGACAAAGTCAAGTCCTGATGCAGTGGTCCAGCGAGAGACAATGGGTGGGTGCTCGTGTTAGGGTGGGGGCAGTGGTGGAGGTAAGAAGACAGGTTCCCTAGGGTTCATTTCCAGTTTGGATATGGGAGGTACCAAGAAAGGAACCTGTCAGTAATAACACCTAGGAATGACATTGACTATGGAGTCGATGTGGAAGAATAAGGTTTTCTCCCCCAAAATATCAGGAGCTTTATTTCAGACATGTCATCAGGAAAGACCAGTCACTAGAAAAGGACACCATATTTGAAAACATAGAGGGTCAGCAAACATGAGACAAATGGTCGATGAGATGATTGACACATGGCTGACCCAATGGGCTCAAACTTACCAACAGTCGTGAAGATGGTGTAGAACTGAGCAACACTTTGTTCTTTGGTATGTAAAGTCGCCATGAGTTAGAGTCAACTCTTGAGAGGCTGGAATTGAGACTCAGCGGCAACTAACAGCACCAATGGTTTTGGACATGATTAGTTGAGTCTTCTCACTACAGGAGACAAGTTGAATAAATGAACTAGAGTTTGGGTGAGGGGTCTTAGCTGGAAATACATTTATAATGTGTGTGTGTATCTGTTTGAGGGCAGCTTGGGAGTGAGCATGTTCAGAAAAGATATAGATTTGAGGATAGAGCCTAGAGACACTGTAAAGCATAGGAGTTTGGTGATGGTGGAAAGATCAAAGCAACTGAGATAGCTTAGCCAGAAAAAAGTCAAGAGTGTAGGCTCCTGGAAGTCAAATGAAGGTCCTTTTGGAAGGTAGAGTATTGCAGTTAGTCAAATATTGCTGATCTGGGACCGTCTAATAATTGCCCTAGTGCCTAAGCCACTTGACTGCTAACCAGAAGGCTGGCAGTTCAAACCCATGAGCCACTCTTCGGAAGGAAGGTTGGGCAATCTTCTTCTGTAGTGATACTACCTTGGAAACCCAAGGAGGGGTTACTATGAGTCGGATCCAACTTGACGGCAGTGCGTTTGGTTTGTTTTTTGGAATAATTAACAAAAGGAGCTCTGGTGGTGTAGCGGATAAGGCATTTGGCTACTAACTAGGTTTAAACTCACCAGCTGCTCTGAGGAAGGAGGATGGGGTGATCTACTTCCATAAAGGTTTACAGCCTCAGATACCTAATGGGGGTCAATTATGAGTTGGAATCGACTCAATGGTGGCTTTTTTTCTTCTTTTTTTTGAATAATTAACTCTATCTTACCAATGAAGAGACTGAGATCTCATTGACCAGAATCACGGGGTGAGGGCAAGGCTTGACTGGGACTCACACTACGTGGCCCAGCTCAGACCCTGGGCTCTAAGCTAGCATCCACGGAGGCTGATGGGGAAGTGAGAAGGGAGGTTCTTGACATCAGAATGTTTTGAAATTCCAGGCTCTGTTTCTTTTCCAGAGTTAAAGCCTTCCATCTGGGCAGTGCCAGGGATTGTGGTCCCACAGTACAGTTCTGTGACCGTCCTCTGTAGAGGACCTCCAGGAGTGAGTGAAATGCGTCTAGGAAGCAGGGAATCCAGTGAGTGGTTTGGCAAAATCCCACAGGGACCCCAGGAGACAGTTGAGTTCCCCATTGAGAATGTGACATTAACCAGCGCAAGGACTTACTACTGCGAATACCTGAAGGAAAGGGCCTGGTCAGCACAAAGTGACCCACTGCAGCTGGTGGTGACAGGTAAGGGCCACTTCAAGGGCAGTATCCCCGGCCATGGTGTCTGTTCCCAGCATACTGTGCCTGCCGGCCATTACCCTCATCCTCTGTCTGTGCCCAGTTTCCTCCTGTCTCATGTCCACTGTCCCTTAGTTTTGACTCTGGTCCAATCTCCCTTCCAAGGGGAGACTGGAAACCCTAAAAATTCATGTGGAACAAATATTCAGCTCTCTTTCTGGACAGAAGACTACTGTCTGGTTCTGGGTCATTAGAAAATAAGAGAAGTGGTAGTTTTTTTTTTTTTGGGGGGGGGGGGGTTCCTGTGCTACAATAAAGGGTGATAGGTGAATTTAACCCTGGCTTCATCCTTTCACCTCTCAGGTCAGACCATGGTGACAGTGCGACACGCATGACTCCCCAGTGATAACAGGCTTTATTCTTTCCCAGGGGTCTACAAGGACACACCCTCTCTGACGGCTCATCCAGGCCCCCGTGTGACCTTAGGAGGGAATGTCACCCTCTTCTGTCACTCAGCTCATGTCTATGACACCATCCATGTGTTCAAAGATGGAAATGCCTTCTCCCAGGACTATTTACATCAGGACCATGCCACCTTCCTCATCTCCCCTGTGACTCTGGCCCATGGGGGCACCTACACATGCTACGGTTCTCCTCAAACACACCCCCTCCTCTGGTCACTACCCAGCAACGCCCTGAACATTTTGGTCACAGGTAACTGTGGATCTGTTACTGTCATGTTTGCTCTGTGCTCAAGGAAGTCCCACAAGGTGTTTAAGGTGGTGTATAGCTAAACCCAAGGAGGGGTTGCTATGAGTCGGATCCGACTTGATGGTAGTGAGTTTGTTTCTTGGTTTTGAGTGTTGTTATAACAGAAATGTCACAAGTGGGTGGCTTTAACAAACAGAAATTTAGTTTCTCACCGCTGAGGAAGCTAGAAGTCTAAATTCAGAGGGCAGGTCTTAGGGGAGACCTCTCTCTCTGTTGGCTCTGGAAGAAGGTTCTTGTCTTTTCAGCTTCTTCTCTCTGGTTCCTTGGAGATCTCCATGTGTCTTGGCATCTATCTTTTCCCATCTCTGCCTCTTTCACTTGCCTGTTTAATCTATTTTATATCTCAAAAGAGATCGACTCAAGACACACCCTACATTAATCCTGACTCATTAACATAACAAAGACACTTTTTTCCCAGTTGGGATTATAACCACAGACACAGAGGTTAGGATTTACAACATATATTTTTTTGGAGGGACAAATTCAATCCATAAAATGAGGAGAATTTCAACTCCACTTTGTCTGTTTTTGTTGATTGTGGTCTGCATAAGATGCCCCGTCTAAAGGTCACTCCATTTAATATATTAAAAAAAAAAAAAAAAAAATCGAAAAACCAACCTCACTGCTGTTGAGTTGGTTCTGACACACAGTGATTCCTCCTCAGGTTTCCGAGGTGGTATCCCTATGGAAATAGACTGCCCAATCTTCCTTCTGAGGATTTGTATATTTATTCTAACAATTTTCTGGCTATTATTAGTACATTGTTTTGGGGATGTCTTTTCAAAGTGCTGTATAAACTAGTGGCAGCCCTTAGGAACCAGACTGAGAGGTAGGTCTTTCTTTCACTTAGTGTGTGGCCCTGTCATCATCCTGAACACCCTCCTCAGGCAGGTCCTTCTCTATATGAGTGGTTGACGTAAGTGCCATCATTAGTTAGTGGTGACAAAAATGCAAAGGGGGAGTGTGGTAGTTAAGGTTGTATGTCATCTTGGCTAGGCTTGGTTGAGTGGCTGGGCAGCTGGATGTAGTTATTCCCCATGGTGAGGTTGGTAATTAACTCCATGGTGGAATCTACTGGAGCAGCTGAGTAGCTGCTCTAGGGATGTGGGCTGCTTCCAGTCTATAAGAAGCAAATTTGAGGAAGGTCTCCAGCTTATGGCATGCTTGAACCCTGCATGTAGCTGCATGCAGGTCAGCAGCCTGCCATGCTCTGCTGATCTTGGGACTTTCAACAGACTTGAATCAATGGCCTGCTGTGTTGTTTGGTAATATCATGCTGTACCTTTTTATTTGTTGACCTTGGGTTTGTCAGCCTCAGCAGCCAACAGCTGTCTGAGTGAAGAAAACCTCCAGCTTCAGTAGGCCAGGAGCAGGAGGCAGAGTTGAAGCACAAAGTCTAGAGGCTTTCACCCAGCCCCTTGAGCCTGGCACTTTGAACTCGGACTTAAAGCCTCCAAAGTAAGACAATAAACTCCTGTTTGTTGAAGCTGTTCCATTTGTGGTATTTCAGTTAGAGTGGCACTAGGTAACCAAAATAGGAAGCATGCTAGTTTCTTCATTCAAGACATTAAGACAATGGAGTAAGCAGTAAAAAAAAAAAAAAAAAAAAAAGTGTATAGAACATCCAAGGGGAAATTATGGTCAAGGTCAGGGCTGGATTACCCCATAAGCAAGGTAAGCACAGACTTACTTGTGCTTACTTACTAATCTGTAGTGAATAATTTCACATGTGTTTCACCACATCTTTGGCAACTATTTTTCCATAGAGTTCTTCTCTACTTGTAAGAATACTTCTGTTTATTGGCTTACATGCCTAGACTCTGTTGTTAAGTAGGTTCACTACAATTTCCCAAACCTCCAATAAGTTGCCTAGTTTATGGTGGTGCTCAGTAAATGTTTACTGGATGAGTAAATGAATGAATGCAACAGGTGTGCAATGACAGATATTTACCACTTTCTAATCCCTAGATCCATATGGTCCTGAACAAGGACACACTCACATTGTGATCGGGGTCTCAGCTGCCGTTGTCTTTATTCTCCTGTTGTTCTTCTTCCTCCTTTGTTGTGGATACCGGGCCAAACACAGTATGTCCTGGAGGTGGAAGGGTTAACCTAGGAGGAGAAGTGGGAGGTGGGCTTGGTGGGTTCCTTCCAAGACTCTGATCACTGGTTCTCTGTAGGAGCCACTGGTGGTGAGACCCAGGAGCAAGTGAAGTGTAAGAGGTAGGGAAGTTTGGACTCCTTTGATAGCAAGCCCTGCTTCCGTCTTATTCCTCAGACCTACTCTAATATGCCTGTCTCCTTTGCGTCAACTCCAGCCTATCCCTGGATGTCCAGGAAGAAAATCAATGTAAGTGGGGAGTAAGGGGAAAGGGCTCCCAGGGTGGGGAAATGGGGTGTCAGGAGGAGCCAGGAAGGAACAGAACAGGTGAGGGGCCAACTTGCTGTGTGATGTTACTGCCCTTTTCGGGATTTTAGTCACCCCATCTCTGAAAGATGGCTGGGAGCACTGGATGTTTCTGAAGGCCCTCAAGGAAGGTCCAAGCCCTCATCTTTCCTTTCAGATGCTGCCTTGAAGGACATCCAGCCTGAGGAGGATGAACCGACAGAGATGCAGGTGAGTCTCTTTTTCACCGACCTTCTCTCCTGGCCCAGTTCCCGCCCCCAGTGCTCTCTCTCACTTTGTATCTTCATGTTGCAGGTCCCCTCAGCAGAACACCCCAACGAAGTGACCTATGCCCTGTTGCAACCGGAAACTCTTATGGGGAGTGTGGATCCACTGACCTGCACCTTCAAGGATGACTCTAAACAGCCCTGTGTGTATGCCACCCTCACCTCGCCCTGAGCTTAGACTTACGACTGGCTGCGTGGGTGCCAGGGTTCTGACACCCTTTAAGGAAGGTGAAGTGACACGTGGCATATTACTCATGCTCCCTCAACACAAGCCATCAACTTGCACCTCCCTAAAGACTAAAGGACAAAGAGCCTTGTCAATCACCAAGGGATTCTGGAACCAATTAAATATTTTTTCAGATGATTCCACATTCTTCAAATATTTACTCACTCACTCACTTGTTCAGCAAATGTTTGTAGAAGCCAGTTCTTTCTTTGGACCTTTTCTGGTGTTGTCTAGGTTAGTAAGATACAGCTTCTAGTCTCAGAGATCTCAAAGTCTACTGAGAGAGGAAAGCTACATTATCTGGTCCTTAAAAAACAATGCAAGAGTGACCTGCAGGAGCAGGTGTAGGGGTGTTTGGGTTCCTTAAGCAGAGACAACTATCCATGCATATTCAGGAAGTACCATCTGCCTATGGAATCCAGACTTTCTGGAGTCATGGAGGCATGATGAACTGCTGAATCTATTGCCCTGAGATCATCTTTAAACCTTACGCCAAAAATATCCCCTGAAGTCTTCTTAAAACCAAGTTATAGTCTAGCCTGACTAGCTAAGAATAGCTACAAGTGCCAACCACTTGGAAAGGGATCAGATTTGGAGATTCTGTACAGGGTGGGAGAAAAAGGTGGAACAAAACTCAAAATCATAAAAACAACAAACAAGAAAACCAGGCTTACTGGCCTGATAGAACTTACTGGCCTGGAATTGAACTCACTCCCCTATGGCTTAACTCTCAGCCAAACAATAGACAGGACTATGAGCTGAACACCTGCACCAGGGAGGTGCCCTCCTCAAACAGTCAACCACGGGAGATCAGAAGCATTTGCACAGGGAGAAAGGAAGAGAGGCAGGAAAGCATTGGAAATAAGAACACAGAGAAAGGGTGACCACAGGAGGAAGCGGGAAGAGAGCTGTGACATTGTGGGGACATAACCAGTGTCACGGAGCACAATGTGCATGAACTGGTGAGTGTAAAACAAATTTGCTTTGTAAAATTTCACCCAAATCACAATAAAAAGTTAAAAAAGAAAATTAAGAATACATTCCTCGAGCTTTGTGCTCTTTTAAGAACTTTCTCTACCTTATGGCTAGAATTTTGATTAAATGGGTGGATACAATATTCAAAAGGTATAACCTGAGCTCTCAATATCCATGCATTATATTTACATAAATTGTAGCCAAATAAATTATTATTTTTTAAATACAAATAACAAAAAAAGACTATATGGGATAAAATTGACAACAGCAACTCAAAAGATTAGATAGGAACTTTAAAAGGCAGTGAGTTTATGTTAATGGAGGAGGAACAGTTCAGAAAAGCAGGGTGAGAATGGTCAAACAGCTTGAAAAATGTCATCCATGTCATTGAATTCTCCATGGAGAATCTGTTGAGTTGGTGTATGTTCTGCTGTGTATATTCTCAAAAACAATAAGTAAATAAATTGTGAAAAAAAAAGAAGTGCCATCAAGCACACGGAGAAGTGAAGCAGTAAGGAGAGTCAAACTGGGAATAGAGGAAGTTGGTAAAGGTGTTTCAGCCCAACACTCCACAGTCTACTGGGAGCTGAAGCCTTCAGAAGGGTGAAAAATGAAAGAGGAAATGTTCCTAGTGAAGTCACCACATTGCAAAACAAAATGAAATTCACTCTTTTCTTCCCACACTCTCACATGCTCTCTCTCTCTCTACACACATACATACACACACACACACACACACACAGAGTTCCATTTTCTCTCTCTCTCTTTCACACACACACACACACACACACACACCCCTTATCTGTCATACACTATATAAAAGAGTTCAAACTAATTTGACAATAATAGGGATTGCTCTTGAGGAAGGAGATGGTGCAGAGACTATATGAAAAGGATTTATGATTTTCCTCCAGTTTTGATGATTTTCTGTTTTCAATTGTGCAATTAAAACAAACAACATAATAATAATAATAATAAAAAGATGTGTATGAGAGAAGAGGAGGTGGAGTGCATATGAAAAATAACTCCACAAGTTTTGATGAAAGTAAGTAGAGAAGAAAGCTAACTTTAGGACAGGGGGAAGGGGTTTGGGAAGGAGATGGGGGAAGCAATAAAGGGGACTTGAGGGCATGTGTTGGTTGATGGAAACAAAGGACAGACAATAGCCATGTGAATAATACTGGGGGAGGAGAGATGATTGACATTTGGTGGGATGGCATGTCAGGTAAGAGATCAGGCTATGCAATGGATGGTTCACCTGGACTCAAACCCTGCTTCTGATACCCACTTGCTCATGAAGTGTACACAAGATAATGTTGCACCTTAGTACCTTGTTATTTTCTCTCAAAGCACTTATCAAAATTCTGTGTATTTTAATGACTCATTTGTTAAGTTGAATTTTGCTTAGAATATAAGACCTACTGTTGTGGTAGACACTGTTCGTTATCTCTTCATCCTTCCCACTTTCTTCTTCACCACCAGGGTGTAAATGAGCTTGAGGCAGTGTGGTGGTTCAGTTTGTGTGTCACCTTGGCTGGGCC